TGATTTCCCTTAACCTCTCCTCATAGGACATACCTCTTAACTCTGGGACTAGTCTTGTTGCAAACCTTTGTACTTTCTCTAGTTTCTTCACATGCTTGGCTAGGTGTGGGTTCCAAACTGGTGCCGCATACTCCAATATGGGCCTAACGTACACGGTGTACAGGGTCCTGAACGATTCCTTATTAGGATGTCGGAATGCTGTTCTGAGGTTTGCCAGGCGCCCATATGCTGCAGCAGTTATTTGGTTGATGTGCGCTTCAGGAGATAAGCCTGGTGTTATACTCACCTCAAGATCTTTTTCCTTGAGTGATGTTTGTAGTCTCTGGCCCCCTAGACTGTACTCCGTCTGCGGTCTTCTTTGCCCTTCCCCAGTCCTCATGACTTTGCACTTGGTGGGATTGAACTCCAGGAGCCAGTTGCTTGACCAGGTCTGCAGCCTATCCAGATCCCTTTGTAGTTCTGCCTGGTCTTCGATCGAATGAACTCTTCTCATCAACTTCACGTCATCTGCAAACAGGGACACCTCGGAGTTTATTCCTTCCGTCATGTCGTTCACAAATACCAGAAACAGCACTGGTCCTAGGACTGACCCCTGTGGGACCCCGCTGGTCACAGGTGCCCACTCTGACACCTCGCCACGTACCATTACTCGCTGCTGTCTTCCTGACAAGTATTCCCTTATCCATTGCAGTGCCTTCCCTGTTATCCCTGCTTGGTCCTCCAGTTTTTGCACCAATGTCTTGTGTGGTACTGTGTCAAACGCCTTCTTGCAGTCCAAGAAAATGCAATCCACCCACCCCTCTCTCTCTTGTCTTACTGCTGTCACCATGTCATAGAACTCCAGTATGTTTGTGACACAGGATTTCCCGTCTCTGAAACCATGTTGTCTGCTGGTGATGAGATCATTCCTTTCTAGATGTTCCACCATTCTTCTCCTGATAATCTTCTCCATGATTTTGCATACTATACATGTCAGTGACACTGGTCTGTAGTTTAGTGCTTCATGTCTCTCCTTTTTTAAAGATTGGGACTACATTTGCTGTCTTCCATGCCTCAGGCAATCTCCCTGTTTCGATAGATGTATTGAATATTGTTGTTAGGGGTACACATAGCGCCTCTGCTCCCTCTCTCAATACCCATGGGGAGATGTTATCTGGCCCCATTGCCTTTGAGGTATCTAGCTCACTCAGAAGCCTCTTCACTTCTTCCTCGGTTGTGTGCACTGTGTCCAGCACTTGGTGGTGTACCCCACCTCTCCGTCTTTCTGGAGCCCCTTCTGTCTCCTCTGTGAACACTTCTTTGAATCTCTTGTTGAGTTCCTCACATACTTCACTGTCATTTCTTGTTGTCTCTCCTCCTTCCTTCCTTAACCTGATTACCTGGTCCTTGACTGTTGTTTTCCTCCTGATGTGGCTGTTACAACAGTTTCGGGTCAGATTTGGCTTTCGCTGCTATGTCATTTTCATATTGTCTTTGGGCCTCCCTTCTTATCTGTGCATATTCGTTTCTGGCTCTACGACTGCTCTCCTTATTCTCCTGGGTCCTTTGCCTTCTACATTTCTTCCATTCCCTAGCACACTTGGTTTTTGCCTCCCTGCACCTTTGGGTAAACCATGGGCTCATCCTGGCTTTTTCATTATTCCTGTTACCCTTGGGTACAAACCTCTCCTCAGCCTCCTTGCATTTTGTTGCTGTGTGTGTGTGTGTGTGTGTGTGTGTGTGTGTGTGTGTGTGTGTTTGGGGGGGGGAGAGGGTGCGTGTGGACGTGTGAGGTAGTGTGTGTGTGGGGGGGTGAGGGTGCGTGTGGACGTGTGATGTAGTGTGTGTCGTGTGTGTGGGGGGTGAGGGTGCGTGTGACGTGTGAGGTAGTGTGTGTGTGTGGGGGGTGAGGGTGCGTGTGGACGTGTGAGGTAGTAGTGTGTGTGGGGGGTGAGGGTGCGTGTGGACGTGTGAGGTAGTGTGTGTGTGTGGGGGGTAAGGGTGCGTGTGGACGTGTGAGGTAGTGTGTTGTGGGGGGTGAGGAGTGCGTGTGGACGTGTGAGGTAGTGTGTGTGTGTGGGGGGTGAGGGTGCGTGTGGACGTGTGAGGTAGTGTGTGTGTGGGGGGTGAGGGTGCGTGTGGACGTGTGAGGTAGTGTGTGTGTGGGGGGGTGAGGGTGCGTGTGGACGTGTGAGGTAGTGTGTGTGGGGGGGTGAGGGTGCGTGTGGACGTGTGAGGTAGTGTGTGTGTGGGGGTGAGGGTGCGTGTGGACGTGTGAGGTAGTTGTGTGTGTGTGGGGGTGAGGGTGCGTGTGGACGTGTGAGGTAGTGTGTGTGTGGGGGGTGAGGTGCGTGTGGACGTGTGAGGTAGTGTGTGTGTGTAGGGGTGAGGGTGCGTGTGGACGTGTGAGGTAGTGTGTGTGTGGGGGGTGAGGGTGCGTGTGGACGTGTGAGGTAGTGTGTGTGTGTGGGGGTGAGGGTGCGTGTGGACGTGTGAGGTAGTGTGTGTGTGGGGGGTGAGGGTGCGTGTGGACGTGTGAGGTAGTGTGAGTGTGTGTGGGGGTGAGGGTGCGTGTGGACGTGTGAGGTAGTGTGTGTGTGTGGGGGTGAGGGTGCGTGTGGACGTGTGAGGTAGTGTGTGTGTGTGGGGTGTGAGGGTGCGTGTGGACGTGTGAGGTAGTGTGTGTGTGGGGGGTGAGGTGCGTGTGGACGTGTGAGGTAGTGTGTGTGTGGGGGGGGTAGGTGCGTGTGGACGTGTGAGGTAGTGTGTGTGTGGGGTGTGAGGGTGCTTGTGGACGTGTGAGGTAGTGTGTGTGTGGGGGGTGAGAGTGCGTGTGGACGTGTGAGGTAGTGTGTACTCACCTATTTGTACTCACCTATTTGTGGTTGCAGGGGTCGAGTCCTAGCTCCTGGCCCCGCCTCTTCACCGGTTGCTACTAGGCCCTCTCTCTCCCCGCTCCATGAGCTTTATCAAACCTCGTCTTAAAACTGTGTATGGTTCCTGCCTCCACTACGTCATTTTCTAGGCTATTCCACTGCCTTACAACTCTATGACTGAAGAAATACTTCCTACTATCTCTGTGACTCATTTGTGTCTTCAACTTCCAATTGTGGCCTCTTGTTTCTGTGTCCCCTCCCTGGAACATCCTGTCCTTGTCCACCTTGTCTATTCCACGCAGTATTTATATGTCGTTATCATGTCTCCCCTGACCCTCCTGTCCTCCAGTGTCGTCAGGCCGATTTCCTTAATCTTTCTTCTTAGGACATTTCCCTTAGCTCTGGAATAACCTTGTTGCAAACCTTTGTACTTTCTCTAGTTTCTTGACGTGCTTTATCAAGTGCGGTTTCCAAACAGGTGCTGCATACTCCAGTATGGGCCTGACATACACGGTGTACAGTGTCTTGAATGATTCCTTACTAAGGTGTCGGAATGCTGTTCTCAGGTTTGCCAGGCGCCCATATGCTGCAGCAGTTATCTGATTGATGTGTGCTTCGGAGACATGCTCGGTGTTATACTCACCCCAAGATCTTTCTCCTTGAATGAGGTTTGCAGTCTTTGGCCACCTAGCCTATACTCTGTCTGTGGTGTTCTGTGCCCTTCCCTATCTTCATGACTTTGCATTTGGCAGGATTAAATTCGAGAAGCCATTTGCTGGACCAGGTGTCCAGTCTGTCCAGGTCTCTTTGAAGTCCTGCCTGGTCCTCATCAGATTTAATTCTCCTCATTAACTTCACATCATCTGCAAACAGGGACACTTCTGAGTCTAACCCTTCCGTCATGTCGTTCACATATACCAAAAATAGCACTGGTCCTAGGACCGACCCCTGTGGGACCCCGCTCGTCACAGGTGCCCACTGTGATACATCATTACGTACCATGACTCGTTGTTGCCTCCTGTTATATGCGCCTGATGCTCTAGCTTCTGCACTAATCTCTTGTGAGGAACTGTGTCAAAGGCCTTCTTGCGTGTGGTAGTGTGTGTGTGTGTGTGTGGGGTGGGTGTGTGGTGTGTGGTGAGTGTGTGTGTGGGGGGTGAGGGTGCGTGTGGACGTGTGAGGTAGTGTGTGTGTGTGGGGGGTGAGGGTCGTGTGGACGTGTGAGGTAGTGTGTGTGTGTGGGGGGGGTGAGGGTGCGTGTGGACTGTGGAGGTAGTGTGTGTGTGTGGGGGGTGAGGGTGCGTGTGGACGTGTGAGGTAGTGTGTGTGTGTGGGGGGGTGAGGGTGCGTGTGGACGTGTGAGGTTGTGTGTGTGTGGGGGGGTGAGGGTGCGTGTGGACGTGTGAGGTAGTGTGTGTGTGTGGGGGGGTGAGGGTGCGTGTGGACGTGTGAGGTAGTGTGTGTGTGTGGGGGGTGAGGGTGCGTGTGGACGTGTGAGGTAGTGTGTGTTGGGGGTGAGGGTGCGTGTGGACTGTGAGGTAGTGTGTGTGTGGGGGGTGAGGGTGCGTGTGGACGTGTGAGGTAGTGTGTGTGTGTGTGGTGTGTGTGTGTGTGTGTGGAGTGTGTGTGTGTGTGTGTGTGTGTGTGTGTGAGGGTGTACAGTATAGACACGTAAGCTGGTGTGTGTGGGTGTGTGAGGGTGTGTCAATTAGCAACACAGTAAGTGGTGTGTGTGGTGTGTGTGAGGGTGTACCAGTATAGCAACACAGTAAGCTGGGTGTGTGGGTGTGTGAGGGTGTATCAATATAGCAACACAGTAAGCTGGGTGTGTCGGGTGTGTGAGGGTGTATCAATATAGCAACACAGTAAGCTGGGTGTGGGAGGAGACATGTGGGTACCGTGCTGTACTTTCCTCTCCATTACCACTGTGGCGACTTAAAAAAAACGACTTCCTGATACCTTGTCTATGCATTAAAACTATTTTTAATTTCGCCTTTCATCTCCGGTAGGTGTGGTAGCTAGTACACGCCATTTTGGAATTTTTTTACTAAGTGACCTGGTACTAGTGAGTTTTTTTGACCTGACTTTACTAGTCATAGTTCCTTTTCGTTTTTTGGCTAATAGCTCGTACCCTTCCGCAGGTTTCATGTCGCCACAAGAGGAGCCGCATGCGCTGGAGGAGACGACCTCCATGGAGGCGGTCGTAAGGGACTATGGCAGGAGTGACCTGACTCCAGAGTGTGTGACCCAACCTGTGGCTCTGGTCAGTGTCAGACGTCGAGACAACGTCCGGCTAGGACGAGAGCCCCAGGCCTTAACGGCCCATAAAGAGCAAGCGCCTACCATTGAGAAATGTTTTCTGATCTTCTCCTCCTTGTCTTTCCTAGATTGACCCACATTTCGCCCTACACAGGTACCGATAGTGGACTTCGTCCAGTTGAAAAATCCATGCAGAAGAATCAGTGTTGAAGATCCAGGGGAGCTGGAGGTAATCAGTCCCTCATTCTGGAATCGGTGTGATCAGACCACCAGTTTTGATAAGAATACAGAATACAGCCCCTTCTTCAAGCATATACTGTATTCTTATCAAGACTGATGGACTAATCACATCGATTCCAGGCTGAGGGACTGATTACGTCCAACTCCCCCTGATCTTCAACCATTCTTCTCTGTATTGGACTGACGAAGCCACTGGATGGCGAAACGTTTACAAGTGTTGCACAATGTCTGAGTTATCAGCCAGTACTCTGACTCGCTTCACAACTGTCCAAACACTCCTCTCATCAACACAAATTCTGATGTAAGGTATTGACATAAGCAAATATTTACAAAATATCCTTAATTTTTACCTATTCGACTCTGCCTGGATAACCTACATTTTTGTGGCCCTGGAGCTAGAACTTTACGGGGTCACCATGGCAACCAAAAACGGCTTGCCTATATGATACTTCAACAATCTTTATCTTTATTCTATTATTTTGTTTTGTGTTGCACTATATTATTAATATTATTTTTTAAAAATCCTTCTCATACAGTAGACCCAAAATTTATAAACAGTTGGACTAAAGTGGCTTCAGGGGCCCCTCCGGGATTAGGGGCCCTGAACCTTAAACTTCAAGGGCCCCCTCTGGGATTAGAGAGATCCTGAAGCTTAAACTTCATTAGTTTCATGATAGATCCGTCCGTGTGTGTCCAGAAACCTTCAGGCAAAACAGTCTGGTCCCACTCACCTACACTTACCGTCCGGCGTATAAGGCGCATGAGATTCTTGATTTCATCGTTCACCTTGATGTATCTGCATCAAGACACTTCTGATTGTTACAGATTACAAGGATTTACTGCAATATTGTATCAAGGCACCTTTGCCTGCTCTTCACAGAGGATGTAATCCCCGTTAATCTCATTGTCTCTGGATTAATTTAATCCCCTCCTCCAAAGTACATTTAAGAAAACTTCATTAGTCTTGACGTAAGAGAGGCAATTACGTTATAAACTTTGATAATAAATACAAACAACTTAGTTTAGAAAGATATGAGAGTAAATGCAAGCAAATATAGAAAACGTTTTGGTCCTGAGCGTCGCTCAGACTCCAACAACACAATTGTCTTCAATGAAGGTCACTAAGCAACACTAATACCTCACTGTCCACTTACATATACTGTCTTTTTAACTTCTGTATGTTACAAGTGATCAAGGTCTACAGGGCCGAAAAGCTGTCTAATATTTGCTAGTATTCACTCATTTCTTTCTAAACCAGTTTATACTCTTATCAACGATTCTTCTAAGAGAGGACTTACGGTGTTATCCTCATCTGAGCTGAGTGTGGGAGGACTGAGACAAGTGTACTCACCTATTTGTACTCACCTATTTGTGGTTGCAGGGGTCGAGTCTTAGCTCCTGGCCCCGCCTCTTCACCGGTTGCTACTGGGCCCTCTCTCTCCCCGCTCCATGAGCTTTATCAAACCTCGTCTTAAAACTGTGTATGGTTCCTGCCTCCACTACGTCATTTTCTAGGCTATTCCACTGCCTTACAACTCTATGACTGAAGAAATACTTCCTAATATCTCTCTGACTCATTTGTGTCTTCAACTTCCAATTGTGGCCTCTTGTTTCTGTGTCCCCTCCCTGGAACATCCTGTCTATAACTGTCTTTATTATCTTTCACAATAAAGGTACCCAGGCGTTGTTCAAGTGCCTTGTTAATCTGCTTATCGGTATTGTATACTGTTTTTGTAATAATAATTATGGAGGGGGAGGAGGATCCTTTGTTATGATGACACTGAGCCATTGTTAAGTGATCGGTCCAATAGGTTAGTGACTTTTTCCACTGCAGAACGAAGGGTCGAAGCCTCCACCACACTGTGTGGCAAGAAGGCACTAGTTAGTCTTTTCAAGATTTATGCACTGATTACATCGACTCCAGGCTGAGGGACAGATTACCTCAGAATCCTTCTGATCTTCTCCATTCTTCTGTGTATGGACTGATGAAGCCACTGTGTGGCGAAACGTTTCCTCAAGAAATATACCCAAGTGTTGCTCATGTGTCTAATTTATCAACTCGTCAAATGTTGACATGAACACCATGGGATGTGCTGAACCCACGCCAGTGGGTTGGGATTCCTCCTCCTCCTGGTACTCAGGAGGACCTGTGGTATCCAGTACCATGTGTACACACTTATGAACAGTTCAGGACATTACTGAGAGGAAACATTTCTCCACGAGCGTCATCTCGAGTCCCTCAGTCGTGTCCACCATTGATCCAAGGGGCTGCTAACACACTATAGATTTCCAATACCCGAGTCCTCCATTATATATAATTTTCTTTATATTGAAATATTCCTTCATGTGAAGCTGATTCAGAGCAACAGAAATCTTTGCAACGAAGACAGGATGAAAGTTCTGAATTTACTGCCTCTGGAGAGACGTAGAATTTGTGATTATTGTTATTATAACAAAACTGAAGTGTACAAGGACTGAAGTGTACAAGACCTGAAGTGTACAAGGACTGAAGTGTACAAGGAATGAAGTGTACAAGGACTGAAGTGTACAAGGACTGAAGTGTACAAGGACTGAAGTGTACAAGGCCTGAAGTGTACAAGGACTGAGGGAACAAGTGGAAAGCTGGATTGAAGGGGATGTAAATACAGTACTGAAAATATCTAACCAAGACAGGACTCGCGGTAATGAACCCAAAGTTGGACAGATTTAGATTTAGAAAGGATATATGGAGGTAGTGCTTTGGCAGTTGAGTTGTAGATGAGTGGCACGAACTCCCAAGTAGCGTCAGTGAAACCAGAACTTCAAGTAGCTTTAAGAACAGATTGTACAGGAAGAATAATAATTAAAACTCACAATACTATCGATGGAACAATACACAACCAGCACTTAGGAGACTGAAACGTATGTCGATGTTTCGGTCTAACTTGGATCGGTGATGTGTAAGCTGGACCTGCCTAGCATGGGCCAGTAGGCCTGCTGCAGTGCCACCACATCCTTACGTTCTTGTGGTATATTCAAGTGTTATACCTCCAGGTATACTTGCCACAGGTATATCCCCTCAAGTATACTACACAGCATTACTCGGATAAATGTTTTGTATCCAGACTCTTTAACCAATGTCAATACAATATTACTTACAGTAAACCTCACAAATATAGACAGGTACTGGGATAATATGAGATGTATTCTTAATATGTGGCTCATTTGCACTCTCTCGCATACACTCTTTCATACACTCTCGCATACACTCTCTGTCGCATACACTCCCTCATTCTTACATACATACTTTCTCACATACACTTGCATACACTCCCTCATTCTTGCATACACACTTTCTCACATACACTTGCATACACTCCCTCATTCTTACATACATACTTTCTCACATACACTTGTATACACTCCCTCATTCTTACTTACACACTTTCTCACATACACTTGCATACACTCCCTCATTCTTACATACATACTTTCTCACATACACTTGTATACACTCCCTCATTCTTACATACACACTTTCTCACATACACTTGCATACACTCCCTCATTCTTACATACACACTTTCTCACATACACTTGCATACACTCCCTCATTCTTACATACACACTTTCTCACATACACTTGCATACACTCCCTCATTCTTACATACACACTTTCTCACATACACTTGCATACACTCCCTCATTCTTACATACACACTTTCTCACATACACTTGCATACACTCCCTCATTCTTACATACACCTTTCTCACATACACTTGCATACACTCCCTCATTCTTACATACACACTTTCTCACATACACTTGCATACACTCCTCATTCTTACATACATACTTTCTCACATACACTTGCATACACTCCCTCATTCTTACATACATACTTTCTCACATACACTTGCATACACTCCTCATTCTTACATACATACTTTCTCACATACACTTGCATACACTCCCTCATTCTTACATACATACTTTCTCACATACACTTGCATACACTCCCTCATTCTTACATACATACTTTCACATACACTTGCATACACTCCCTCATTCTTACATACACACTTTCTCACATACACTTGTATACACTCCCTCATTCTTACATACACACTTTCTCACATACACTTGTATACACTCCCTCATTCTTACATACACACTTTCTCACATACACTTGTATACACTCCCTCATTCTTACATACACACTTTCTCACATACACTTGCATACACTCCCTCATTCTTACATACACACTTTCTCACATACACTTACATACACTCCCTCATTCTTACATACATACTTTCTCACATACACTTACATACACTCCCTCATTCTTACATACACACTTTCTCACATACACTTGCATACACTCCCTCATTCTTACATACACACTTTCTCACATACACTTGCATACACTCCCTCATTCTTACATACACACTTTCTCACATACACTTGCATACACTCCCTCATTCTTACATACACACTTTCACTTACATATACTTCCCTCCTTTCACATACCCTCTTATGTTTAACCTTACTTTTTCTCAACAAATGTCGTACGATGTATTTTAGTCTTTAATTCATTTTCATTGATGTCTATTATAATATATTTCTTCTACACTTGATGATCTATAATCACATTTGTTCAATATTTGACTCAGTCTTATTTGGTGTAATGTTATGTATTGAAAGTACTCACCTGTATGTGGCGAAGGTGTAATACGCTCTTGTGTTTTGTTACTTTCTATGTGTTGTAGTTATGTTTTCTATA